TACCAAGTGTAATGGCTTTGTTAGTTTGTCTAACTTGGTGATTTAAAATAGAATTGTTTGTAAGTATTTTCTGCAATGAAAATTGTCAAGAATCGACTGCGTAGTCGGATGGGAGATCAATGGTTAAGTAATAGTTTGGTTGCATATATTGAAAACGATGTATTTAACAATATTGATAACGATATAATTATACGACATTTTTAGAGTATGAAAACGCGTAGGCTGTAATTGTAATAACGTATTGACTTATTTTCATTAATGATATATAGTTCTAAATATTTTTGAATTCTCATTTTTGACCCCACAAGACAAATGGTCTGAGTCCGCCCCTGAAGATGGCGGAGAGCCTCAAAGCATTGACGGCAAAGAATACATCTCTGTGGGAAAAGATGGAGAACACAAACACCAGTATGCAGGGTGAGTCTGTAGAAAATGAGATGGATCTTGCTACTAGCGCTTTATGCGAGAATAGTAGTAATCTACATGTGTCAAAAATCTGCAACATTGTGTCAAAGAGGTGGTGTAAGGGAAAGTACGTGAGTAGGCCTGCCATTGAAAGGTTTGCGGACGAAGTGAACTTATACGACATGAAGTACAGTTAGTACAATCATCCAGAAGGCCGGAAGATGGAGAGCTTAATCAACACCTCATACAAGTTTTGTATTACTAAAATATAGAATAATTGTGTAGGCACAATTACTATATTTGTTTTCTCCATATTAGTCAATTGAATAAAATACTCCATTTTTTTGCCAATTAATTATTTTGCATTTTATCTTGTTATTTGTTTTCGATCATATACTTCATATTGTGTCATATATATTACCTCAATCCGTTTTATTTCCCAACAAGTGGTATCAAAGTTATTGATGGTGATTTGTTCGAGGTTTTTATTATTAATGGCAGACTTGAAGTATGAAATTTCTCTCTTGGATCGCAATACAAGATTTTCATTATGGTAAGTAAGGATGCAAGTTATACTCGCACAGATGGATTTGGATGATCCATTGTTGAGATTTAAAAAAATGCCCACAACTTGGACGACAGAGGAGAAACAACGAAAGGATTAGAAGGCACTTTCACATATCCATCTTCATTTCTCTAACAATATTCTTCAGGACGTTTTGAAAAAGAAAACGACATCTTCTTTGTGGTTGAAGTTGGAGCGATTGTGCATAATAGAAAGCCTGACAAGTAAATTACATTTGAAACAAAGGTTGTATTATCATCGCATGGCTGAAGGCTGATATTTGAAGGATCATCGGCTGTGTTCTAGGAGATCGTCGCTGATTTGGAGACTTTAGAGGTAAAATATGATGAAAAAGATTTGGCCTTAATCATTTTGTGTTCACTACCCACATCGTTTACTTCATTTAGAGACACATTCTTATATAGTCGTGATACTCTCACGATTAAAGATGCGTATGCTGCCTTATTTTCAAAAGAGAAGATGAAGCATCTGATTGTATATGAGGTCAGAGATGGAGAATGCCTCATTGTTCATGGTGATTGGATAAGAGGTAAGTCGAGGTCAAATTTCAGTAATCAGGTTTGTTATTATTGTAAGAAGAAATGACACATTAAGATGGATTGTGACAAATTGCAGAACAAAGATAATTTGACTAAAAATCATAGGAAGCAATCAAATACTTAAGACGAGACCAACATAATCGAGAACTATGTGAATGATATGTTTTGAAGATTTCTGACATAGAATCCAAACCTGACGGGAGTGGATTTTGGATACAGCTTGTGCATTCCATATGTGTCCCAATCGAAATTTGTTTGAAACATATGAAAAGGTGACGTAATCTGTCGTTATCATGGGTAACTACATTGTCGGGTAGTTGGTATTGGTAGAGTCGGATCGAAACTAGTGGATGGAACATGTAGAACACTTGATCACATTCGAAATATTTCAAACTTGAAGAAGAATCTCATTTCGTTGAGTACTCTTGATTAAAAAAGGTACACATTCTCTGGAGGAGGTGGAATCTTGAGGGTTCAAAAGGGTGTTTGATGAAGATAAAATAATAATTTCATTTAATTTTGGATTTGTTCGTTTTTGGCGAATTGCTAGTCTAATTTGATTGTAAACGAGCCAATGATCACAACACAGGGCCTTTGGCCCTGAAGCACGTCAAATTTTGGGCAAATTCCATCGTTTAGGTCATCAATTAAGCGTTTTTGCCATTTATGGTAATTTTTGTTTTGACAATATTTTAGTCAAATAAACTCGGATTTGATTTCCGTTTGTTAGGGGATG